TAGCGTAATTAGAAATAAATAATTCCATACATATGACGCAAGGGACCACGAGCCCCAGGGAGCCTCGGACGACAGGATACACTTTCCCCCACAAGCGACAAAGACACTAACACAGGGATACGCTGGACTATGTTCAGAACTAAGGAATACTTGCCGCTTGGTCAGTAAAGTATTGTGCTTGAGGTAAAAACCTTCGTTATCTTGAGGTTAGGAGGTTATCTTGAGATGATTTCGGGGCTTTTAGTGTCCCCGCGGCCCGGTCCTCGACCAGGCCTCCACCCCCAGGAAGCAGCCCGTGACTGCTGACTAACACCCAGGTACCTATTTTACTGCTAGGTAACAGGGGCATAGGGTGAAAGAAACTCTGCCCATTGTTTCTCGCCGGCGCCTGGGATCGAACCCAGTCCACAGGATCACAAGTCCAGCGTGCTGTCCGCTCGGCCGACCGGCTCCCTCAAGTAGTAAGTAAGTAGTGTATTTAAGATTGAAGAGGTTCGTTAATCTGGGGGAGAGACGTAACAACACAATAACCTGTAAGTTGTGAGTTAGTTTCGGCTAGCATTTACATCATTAATAAATTACTACAAGTGTGGCAGTGACATTTTAATTAAATACTTATGCAGCAGTGACTTCGGTGAGGTGCTGTGGCATTGTTAAATTGTATAGATGTTTTGGTGTGTTGTATTTTTTGTATGTGGTTGTATGAAGAGGTCCGCCCCCTCACTAGTGACCGTGTAGGTGAGTTACCACACACATACATCCAATTACACCTTATTTTGACCAGACCACACACTAGAAGGTGAAGGGACGACGACGACGTTTCGGTCCGTCCTGGACCATTCTCAAGTCGACAATCAACTTGAGAATAGTCCAGGACGGACCGAAACGTCGTCGTCCCTTCACCTTCTAGTGTGTGGTCTGGTCAACATACTTCAGCCACGTTATTGTGACTCATCGCCTGGAACTACATCTTAAGTCATCTGCTTCATATATCTCTAACCTTACATGTAAGGCCCGGGAGCTACAGTTCGATCCCCAGAGAAATAAATCGTTGAGTACATTCACAGACACTTACATGTCGTAGCTCAGTCGATTAAGGCAGCGTCTAGCTCTCGGACGTAGGTTCGAATCCTCATCACGGCCCGGAGTTCCACCCATAAATACAAACGTCTTCTTAAATTAACTGTTAAGAAAGATGGCGGTTGTAATCTTATGGCGAGCAGGAACCAAAGGTGTAAAGTTGACTTTTGTTGGGTCTGTCTTGGACCTTGGGAACCCCATGGGTCTTCATAGGCATCCATCAGTCTCAGGAGACTATGGAGTTGCGCTCTGGTTGTCGGTCTGGAGTGGCCTCTCCAGGGCGCAAAGCCAGGGTAGGTTGACACGAGGGAGAAGCTGTTACCCATGCAGCAGGTCCCACCCCCCCCTCTCCACGTACCCCCCCCCCCATCTTCCCCACCATCAACCCCCAACCTTCCCCACCATCAACCCCCAACCTTCCCCACCATCCCAGGCATTCGACTCCCGTCTTTCATTGAAATTCTAATTACTGAAAGTATCTCGTTTTTTCCGTGGTGCGAGGGGGGGAGGGGGCAGGGTAGGGGGTGAGAGAAAGAGAGAGAGAGAGAGGGGAGGGAGTGTACGAGTGAGAGAGAGAGGGGAGGGAGTGTACGAGTGAGAGAGAGAGGGGAGGGAGTGTACGAGTGAGAGAGAGAGGGGAGGGAGTGTACGAGTGAGAGAGAGAGAGGAGGGAGTGTGTGCGTGTGGGGAGTGAATGAGAGAGAGAGAGGGAGTGGGGTTACAGAAAGTATATGTGAGAAAGTGTTATGAATGACAGTGTATGAAAGAGAGGGGGAGAGTGATTGAGAGAGAGAGTGAGAAGCAGGAAGAGGGGGGGGGGGTGAGAAGTGAGAAAGAAGGGCTGATGAGAACGAGACAAATAAGAATGAGAGAAAAGCATGAACCAAAACGACCCATCACAGCCTCGCCACAATTCTCAAAATGTCTCATCTTATTCCACTGTGACTCAGATTTAAAAATTATATTTCTGTTGAATAGCAATGAAGTGTCAGCTGTGTAGTGGAGTCGAGGAGGAGGAGGAGCAGGTACAGCAAGAGCAAGAGGAGAAGTAAGAGCAGAAACAGGAGTAAGAGCAACAGGAACACCTGGAAGAACAGTTGTAGAAATACAAAACCTAGCAGTAAATAGGTCCTTGGGATTTAAACAGCTGCTACGGTCTGCTTCCTGGGGATGTGTGTGTGAAAAAAAAACCAGTCGATTGACAGTTTAGAGGCGGGCCGAAAGAGCAGAGCTTAACCCCCGCAAGCACAACTAGGTGAACTAGGTGAATACACTGCATTAGAAGAACTCTCGTCTCGGTGGATACTCATCCCTCGAACTGATTCCGACATGCAGACCTCCAAAAGATATTTTAATAGACCCAAAATAGGACTGATGTACCAAGAATACCCGCAGTGGGTAATCGCCATCTATTGTGGTTTAATTCTTCCCATAAACGCTCGTTAATTCGTTAATTAATATCCTTACTCCTTGAAGATGAAATTATTCAACTAAAGTTGTAAGTTACTACTTCAGACGCTACTTGGTATGTTAATTGTCACTTAATGTGTTAATTAAATAGCCTAATACTTTAATTAAATTAGATAGTATGTTAATTAAATCTCACTTAATACTGTAATTTATTTTAGACTTTAATAAGTTCACTTAATACTTTGATTAATTCACATAATACTTTAATTGCTACTTAATTTTTATTCACTTAATACTTTGATTAATTCACTTAATATTTTAACTCAATAGTTTACTTAAGTCATTAATAGTTTGATTAATTCACTTAAAAGTTGGATTAATTCACTTAATACTTTAATTAATTCAGTTAACAGTTTAATAAAGTCACTTAATATTTCAATTAAGTCAGTAAATAGTTAATAAGAACTCTCTTTCAACCACCAGGTTGAAAGAGAGTTGTTTAGGGCGCACAAGTCCACATTTCGTCCCGTCATTAGACAGCCCGTCCTCAGAAACAAAGGCAAAAGTCCATTCCATGCACCCGCCCAACCCGTCCTCGACTCAAGTCCATTACATCCAGCGGTCGACCCCACAGACGCATTCATATATTTTAACATGCTGTTCATTCAAAACGGGAATTTTCTCAAGCATAAATTAATATTATAATATATTAGCATATTGTGTATAAATAGGCATAGGTTAGGTTAGGTTAGGTGTTTAGGTTCTGTTGGCGATTATTTGTATTTGTAGTACATGGGTGAAGCATTTATAGCGTTGTGATTCGAACAAAATTCGTCAGTGAAGCACTTGTTCCGGATATGTTCGAACGTCAGCAGTTGTGAGTCGTGTGTAAACCGCTTTTCATTCATAAACAGGGTGTTTGGCGGGTGCATGGAATCACTTTTGGATCTTTGTTTGGAGGACGGGCTGGGTTCGAACACAAGTAGTCAGTGAAGCACTTGTTCCGGAAGGGTTCGGACGTCATCAGTTGTGAGTCGTGTGTAAACCGTTTTTCATTCATAAACAGCTGGGGTTTGGCGGGTTAATGGAATGGACTTTGGGTCATTGTTTGTGAGGATGGACTGCGCCAAACCCCAGCTGTTTATGAATGAAAAACGGTTTACACACGACTCACAACTGATGACGTCCGAACACTTCCGGAACAAGTGTTTCACTGTTCGTCCAGTGCAGCATCTTCCGACTCGATCATATATTGTTTCTCTTGAAGGTTGTAGTGTTGTGCGTTGTAATGTGCATGTGTTTCTCAATTGGTTGTTATAATCTATTGACTCGGGTGTCCAGCAAGGTTGTTGACACCGCCCCGTGCCTGAGAGAGAGAGAGAGAGAGAGAGAGAGAGAGAGAGAGAGAGAGAGAGAGAGAGAGAGAGAGAGAGAGAGAGAGAGAGAGAGAGAATGTACGTGTGTGTGTGTGTGTGTGTGTGTGTGAGTGTGGTCGCGTTTTTGTGTGGCTGGGTTCAACATGCAAGGTCCATTCAGAGAAAAATCCAGGCACCTTTTATTCTTAATTATAAAAAAAGTAGCGTACAACAATAGGCTTCCACACCCCTCGCCCGCGGTGACTGTATTTGTCGCTATTTACTTGTTTCTGTACGAGTAACAAAAACAAAAACACCTTAACAAAAACACATACACATTGAACTAGCCTATTTCCATGCATGGAAGGAAACAAAAGAAAACTAGTAACAATATCAACAATAACAGTAATGAGCAACAAGAGGTATGTAACAAGAGGGAACAAGTACACAAAGAGGGCAGCAAGAACTATATAAATAAATAAATATATATACCCTGACCTCCAGACAGGGGTTGCCAGAGACTCTCATATTGCATAAAATTAGCCTCATCTCACCAAAGCTCTGCAATTTCAGCTACTCGTGAGTATAATATATATGCTCTTGAATGCACCAATAATTCCTTATATACATATTTTATCTCCTGTTGTAGCGTTAATACTAAATATAAATTATGCATTAGTAGATAAAAAGATGGTAGGCCTGATTTTTGACGCATTTTTGCCACACGCCGCTATTTTATCCGCCTAACCTGCTTGCACTCTTAAATATACTCTATAATGCTCTCCAATACCTATCCGTGAACGCGCTCCAGCTGCGAGTATGATCATGGTATCATATACTTAATTGCAACAATTTCGAAAGATATTTTTTTTGTGTGTTTTATCGGATTGCAATATAAGTGAACTGGACACGCTTCTTTAAAGGTAACTATTGCGACAATATTTGCTGTAAAGCCTCCATATCATACTATTTATTACCGCCAGATATGTGCGTTTAGGTCACTGGGTTATTTTTTATCTGTGTTATTTACGTCTCTTGGGAAACATTTATAGATTTTGACTTTTGCAGGTATTTAAAAATGGGAGGTTGTGTCGTACCGCTGGCAGCCACGTCTGGGGGTCTAGCTGCGGCAGCGGCATTGAAGTTATCAGTGTACAGTGAGCGGTGGGAGAGGAAGGTTGTGTGTCTCTCGCGGTGTTCTTGTGTACAGGGAAGTTTGAAGTGTAGTGTACTTAAAATAATGTGACGGCTGCGGTGAACTATGGTTGATAATACTCTCGTTGAAGGTGCACTTAAATACCGAGATGGCAAGAAGGTGAGTACTTGTCCCAGCGTCTTGTTTTGTAAGTTAGAAGTCAAGATAAGTTTAAGAGGTTCGCGAGATGACGGGAACAAGACGGAGGATCTTCCAGGTGTACTGTTGTACACCCTGGCTGTGTGTACTGTTGTACACCCTGGCTGTGTACTGTTGTACACCCTGGCTGTGTGTACTGTTGTACACCCTGGCTGTGTGTACTGTTGTACACCCTGGCTGTGTACTGTTGTACACCCTGGCTGTGTACTGTTGTACACCCTGGCTGTGTACTGTTGTTACACCCTGGCTGTGTGTACTGTTGTACACCCTGGCTGTGTGTACTGTTGTACACCCTGGCTGTGTGTACTGTTGTACACCCTGGCTGTGTGTACTGTTGTACACCCTGGCTGTGTACTGTTGTACACCCTGGCTGTGTGTACTGTTGTACACCCTGGCTGTGTGTACTGTTGTACACCCTGGCTGTGTACTGTTGTACACCCTGGCTGTGTGTACTGTTGTACACCCTGGCTGTGTGTACTGTTGTACACCCTGGCTGTGTGTACTGTTGTACACCCTGGCTGTGTGTACTGTTGTACACCCTGGCTGTGTGTACTGTTGTACACCCTGGCTGTGTACTGTTGTACACTCTGGCTGTGTGTGCTGTTGTACACCCTGGCTGTGTGTACTGTTGTACACCCTGGCTGTGTACTGTTGTACACTCTGGCTGTATGTGCTGTTGTACACCCTGGCTGTGTGTGCTGTTGTACACCCTGGCTGTGTACTGTTGTACACTCTGGCTGTGTGTGCTGTTGTACACCCTGGCTGTGTACTGTTGTACACTCTGGCTGTGTGTGCTGTTGTACACCCTGGCTGTGTGTGCTGTTGTACACCCTGGCTGTGTGTACTGTTGTACACCCTGGCTGTGTACTGTTGTACACTCTGGCTGTGTGTGCTGTTGTACACCCTGGCTGTGTGTACACTCTTGTACACCCTGGCTGTGTGTACACTCTTGTACACCCTGGCTGTGTGTACACTCTTGTACACCCTGGCTGTGTGTACACTCTTGTACACCCTGGCTGTGTGTACACTCTTGTACACCCTGGCTGTGTGTACACTCTTGTACACCCTGGCTGTGTGTACACTCTTGTACACCCTGGCTGTGTGTACACTCTTGTACACCCTGGCTGTGTAGATCACTCGGGTCTGCTGTACAGAACATACGGGAGCGAAAGACACGGAAGGAAATGCATAATAGAACTAGTGAGTAGTACAGAATATTCTCTCCCAGCCAGCATTATAAATATTGCTGGAACAAAGGCAGACTATTTCAAGAAGCAATTGAACAAGTTATTGTAAGAAGTGCCGGATCAACCGGATTGTAGTGGATATGTGGGCCTGCAGCCCATCATCCTGTTTTGTTAGTACTTACAGTAACGATGAGGACCATATATATATAATATATAATATATATATTATTTATTGATTTATTTTCCGACGTACAATGAAATTTGAAAGTAGAAATCAAAATTATTTAGTTGGACAAACCTGAAAACAATATTTTTATTTGTGTTGCTTTGAGAAACTCAACTAACCCAACCTCCCTACCTTGAGATTCGGGGCTTAGCGTCCCCGCGGTCCGGTCCTCGACCAGGCCTCCTCGTTGCTGGACTTGTCAACCTGGCTGTTGGACGCGGCTGCTCGCAGCCTGACGTATGAGTCACAGCCTGGTTGATCAGGTATCCTTTGGAGGTGCTTATCGGGTTCTCTCTTGAACACTGAGGGGTCGGCCAGTTATGTCCCTTATGTGTAGTGGAAGCGTGTTGAACAGTCTCTGGCCTCTGATGTTGATAGTTCTCTCTTGAACACTGTGAGGGGTCGGCCAGTTATGTCCCTTATGTGTAGTGGAAGCGTGTTGAACAGTCTCTGGCCTCTGATGTTGATAGTTCTCTCTTGAACACTGTGAGGGGTCGGCCAGTTATGTCCCTTATGTGTAGTGGAAGCGTGTTGAACAGTCTCTGGCCTCTGATGTTGATAGTTCTCTCTTGAACACTGTGAGGGGTCGGCCAGTTATGTCCCTTATGTGTAGTGGAAGCGTGTTGAACAGTCTCGGGCCTCTGATGTTGATAGTTCTCTCTTGAACACTGTGAGGGGTCGGCCAGTTATGTCCCTTATGTGTAGTGGAAGCGTGTTGAACAGTCTCTGGCCTCTGATGTTGATAGTTCTCTCTTGAACACTGTGAGGGGTCGGCCAGTTATGTCCCTTATGTGTAGAGGAAGCGTGTTGAACAGTCTCGGGCCTCTGATGTTGATAGTTCTCTCTTGAACACTGTGAGGGGTCGGCCAGTTATGTCCCTTATGTGTAGTGGAAGCGTGTTGAACAGTCTCGGGCCTCTGATGTTGATAGTTCTCTCTTGAACACTGTGAGGGGTCGGCCAGTTATGCCCCTTATGTGTAGTGGAAGCGTGTTGAACAGTCTCGGGCCTCTGATGTTGATAGTTCTCTCTTGAACACTGTGAGGGGTCGGCCAGTTATGTCCCTTATGTGTAGTGGAAGCGTGTTGAACAGTCTCGGGCCTCTGATGTTGATAGTTCTCTCTTGAACACTGTGAGGGGTCGGCCAGTTATGTCCCTTATGTGTAGTGGAAGCGTGTTGAACAGTCTCGGGCCTCTGATGTTGATAGTTCTCTCTTGAACACTGTGAGGGGTCGGCCAGTTATGTCCCTTATGTGTAGTGGAAGCGTGTTGAACAGTCTCGGGCCTCTGATGTTGATAGTTCTCTCTCAGAGTACCATTGCACCTCTGCTTTTCAACGGGGGGGGGGGGGGGGGGGGGGGGGGGGGGGGGGGTATTCTGCACATCCTGCCATGCCTTCTGGTAGGCCTTAATACACGATATCGGAGGCCTAATACAGTACATATGTGTGTGCTATACTCGGTCTAGGAATATTTAAGTTTTAGCTTCGTTTGTTTTAAAAGGATTCCTTACTAGTCGGTATACTATTATCTAAAAGCTAAGGATGTACGAATTTACGTACGAACGTACGTATTAAGATCGTCACAATAGGTACTATCGAAACAGGAGGATAGGTTGCAGGGCCTGCGGGCCGCTCCAAGCAACAAACAGCCTGTTGGACCAAGTTATCACAAGTCGAGTCTGGCCCCAGGCCAGGCTCGGAGAGTAGATAAACACGCGAATCTCTCTCCAGTATGCCTCCAGATATTAAGTTTTCCTTTTGTATTAATTAAAATTAGTGTGTGTGTGTGTGTGTGTGTGTGTGTGTGTGTGTGTGTGTGTGTGTGTGTGTGTGTGTGTGTGTGTGTGCGTGCGTGCGTGCAATTCACATACACATTAGAGATGTGTGTGTACACGTTGATGGTGTGTCCATTAACGGCCATACATTATGTATACCCTGCCATACAGCCAAGTATTTAAGACTCCCATACATTTAACATGTTACTAACACCGACAGGAAATCAGAGTTAAACGATAAACTCAAATATATGTAAAAATTATCATTTTGTTTTTTCTTAACGGATTCCAGCTAGGCTTTATATTTGTTTTAATTGTAGGCGCTCATTGAAATACCCATCGCTTAATTCAACATTAATTTCATTCATTCTCTCTTAAATTTAGCCTTTCGTATTTTAATTTGGGTGATATATTTAGCAGCAGAAGGTCTAAAATCAATATTGGGTTTGAATGATGTGTAGCGGAAGCCTCATATTTGTGAGGCCTACATCAACTTATTCTTTTGTTTTTATTATAAGGACTTGTAAAAAAATAGTGCTTCACTATGCTACAACGGCGCTAATTATTAATTTACAATTATATCTTGTTTAAATATTATACTAATAAATAATGCTTTTATTTGTTTAATGTGATGAAAATTGTGATGTAATTTTTAGTACTTGTTTTTTTAGTCTTAAAAATAGTTTAGTCAATACGTTTGTATTGAATGTTAAATGCTGTAGCTACTGTATTAATTCATGCAGTGCATCCTGCACCACCAAAAGACGCTTGATACATCTAAAGTTACCACATTTGCTTGAATGTATCGCCAACATAATTGGAAACAGGTGGTGAGCCGGATGGTTTCTCATTCCCAGCATGAAGATCATCCGGCCACTGGCCCATCAGGTCTTGAATGGTCCAGTTTGGTGTAGCTTGCTGTACACATTACCTCGCCAGGGTCGACGGGTTGTGCGCGCTGATGTTCCCAAGTGATCTTTGGGAGCGTGTGGGGGTGGGGTTCGCCTGTCAGAGTGGGCGGTCGCCTGGATTTAATCAATGTTTTTACTCGAATGTCGTTAAATAAATTACGGAGGCTGGCCCTTGTTGGGATATATTGGACAGGTGTGTGTGTATATATGTGTGTGTGTGTGTGTGCGTGTGTGTGTGTGCGTGTGTGTGTGTGTGTAATTTAGTATACACTGGCTCGAGCCTTCTCTCGGGGAAGGGGAATGACTCGGACAAGATTAATCTTGTGTGTGGTTGTTTCAAAGAATGATCCGAATCATATTGTGACTGACATTCTTCTTGTTTGGATTGGCCAATCTGTTATTATCCACGATAGAGAGGGGTTAATAATTCACATGACTGGGATGTGGATCGCCTAACACCTTCATGCTAAGGTGCATCTCCATGGAAGGCCTAAAGTTCTATTTGAACAACAGATCGGTGTTTCTGGAATGGCTCAGTAGGTAGAGCTGCGGGCAGCTGCTGCTTATATGGTATTCAGGTCAATGAAACGTACAAGTGAATGAAATCTTTGAGTGACTCTAGGCCTAAGTGTCGTGTGTGTTTATGCATCCATTAGACCCCGTTTGCAATTGCAGGCGATGAGTCACAATAACGTGGCTAAATTATATTGACCAGACCACACACACTAGAAGGTGAAGGGACGACGACGTTTCGGTCCGTCCTGGACCATTCTCAAGTCGATTGTGAATTGTTTGAAAATAAGTTTTGTTTCTTCGATTGCCTTAATTATTACATCATACAAACATAACTGAAATCATAGGCT